TTTTTTTTTTTTTGAGACAGTTTCACTCTTGTCGCCCAGTTTTTTTTGCAATGGCGCAATCTTGACTCACCGTTTTTTTTTCCACCTGGGTTCAAATGATTCTCCTGTTTTTTTTTCCCAAGTAGCTGGGATTATAGGCACTTTTTTTTACGTCCAGCTAATTTTTGTATTTTTATTTTTTTTAGGGTTTCACTATGTTGGCCAGGCTTTTTTTTTTCTCCTGACCTCAGGTGATCCACCCACTTTTTTTTCCTAAAGTGCTGGGATTATGGGCATGTTTTTTTTCACCCAGCCAGCTCATTCATTCTTACTTTTTTTTTTTACCACTGTAGGATTTATCAGTGATTTTTTTTTGGTGCCTTCCATGGCCTTTCTTCTCTTTTTTTTCGCATTTTTTACATCTTTAAATAACATTTTTTTTACCCTGCATTCAGGAAATAGGTCCAGCTGATGTGTTAACTGCATTTCACAGATAAGCAGGTTTTTTTTGCACACAAAATGAAAAGACCAAAAGATTTTTTTTGTTTAAAAGTTAACATTATAACTCATTTTTTTTTAAATATTCAATAACTTTGATAACAACTTTTTTTTAAAGTTTTAAACTAGAAAAATCCATCTTTTTTTTCCATTTGGCATCCTCATGAGATGTTGTTTTTTTTACCCTTCTGAGCTGTTTCTGGTTCCATTTTTTTTCCCAGGGAAACGCCAAAGGGCCCAGCTTTTTTTTGTTTGTTCAGATAAGGCAGGCTCAGATTTTTTTTTGAAGGGCTGCTTCCCCAGCAGACAATTTTTTTTAGAATGTCAGGAATTTTTTAAACCAGAGGTTATTTATGGTATTAATGAAGTCTTACTCTATTTTTTTTTTTTTAAATTCCTGATCTCATCATTTTTTTTTTTTTTTAGGAAGGCCTAGACTAAATATTAAGGAAGAAAATAATTTTAAAGAATAAAGTAGGCTTTTTTTTGTGGCTCACGCCTGTAATCCCAGCACTCTGGGAGGCCAAGAAGAGCGGATCACCTGAGGTCGGGAATTTGAGACCAGTCTGACCAACATGGAGAAACCCCATCTCTACTAAAAATACCAAAAAAATTATTTTTTTTTGGTGGCACATGCCTGTAATCACAGTTTTTTTTTAGGCTGAGGCAGGAGAATCACTTGAATTTTTTTTGCGGAGGTTGCAGTGAGCCAAGATTGTTTTTTTTCACTCCAGCCTGCGCAACAAGAGTGATTTTTTTTCTCAAAAAAAAAAAAAGAATAAAGTATTTTTTTTGACCCAAAGATATTAATTCCACACACTTTTTTTTAGCAGAGAGGGTATTAAATAATCAATATTGCTCCTTTCTTGGACATAAGCTTAACAAGAATTTTTTTTGTTATTACATATAAAGACATAAAAGATTTTTTTTATTAACTAGAAAGACATGACCATATCTTTGAATGGAAAAACTATGTATTGCAAAAATTTCTTTTTTTTAAGTTCTATCAAATTCTTAATAAGATTTTTTTTTGGGGCAATTTGAGACTTATTTTATCCTTTTTTTTGGCAGATTATATTTCTAGAACTCTTACTGATGGAAGTCATTAGGAATCCAAGAATTATATTTTTTTTTCCTCTCATTATTTTAACAGTAAAAAGTTTTTTTTAACCTATCTAGCTAATGATGGGATTGTTTTTTTTTTAACAACCATTAAAACATTTGGTCTTTTTTTTTTGTAAAAATGGCAATAAATAACATTATTTTTTTTCATCTGAACGGAAAACAAAACACAAATTTTTTTTAATGTGAGTTTTTTAAAAAGCTTTTATTTTTTTTTTAAAAAGAAAACACACCAGAAAGCTTTTTTTTTCTCTTACTTAGAATCAACTTGACTTTTTTTTTTTCAAACAGGAAAAAAAATATTTGTGAACAATATCCTGGCCACAGTTCAATCATTACTCATGTTTTTTTTAAAAAAATGGATACACAAAGATATAATTTTTTTTATCCCAATATATAAAAAGATACACATTTTTTTTTAAAACACATGAAGGAAACACTAAAATATGACCATCTTGGGTAGTGAGGTTATGAGGTGATTTTTTTTTTCCTTTATACAAAAGAAAGTATTTTGTTTTTTTTGTTCTGAATTTTCTACAGTGAGCATATTTTTTTTGAGTAGACATAATAAGAAAGGGGGAATTTTTTTTGGTTTTTAACACTGGGGGTGGGGGAATTTTTTTTTAGAAAAACCTCAAAATAGTTTGTTCTTTTTTTTCATAATTCACTCAGTCCAGAAACTTGTTTTTTTTGTTGAGTACCCAACCTGTCACTCAAATTTTTTTTCTAATCCGTAAAGTCCTGAATTTTCATTTTTTTTATATACTTTTGATTCGTCCACTTCTCTCCCATAAGCTAGGTCACATCGCTCATCTACAGCTTTTTTTTCCTGAGTGGTTTCTCACAATTCCTGCCCTCCTATAATCCAGTCTTCACCCGCAGTTCTAGTTTTTTTTTCAAAATGACCATCAGATCTTGCCATTTTTTTTTTCTTATGATAAATCCCCAACTTTGTGTTTTTTTTTTCCATACTCTACGATCTGGTCCCTGTTTTTTTTTTCTGCTACCGCCGCAACTGCCTTCTTTTTTTTTAAGTCACCAAGCTTTCTCCCCGATTCTTTTTTTTCGGACAGGTAGTTCCCGCTCTCCTTTCATCTCCGCCTGACGCACTCCTCCCTCCTTTCAATTTTTTTTGGAATCATTTACTACAGCGCCCACAATTTTTTTTCTTTGGCTCTTTTTAGTCTTGAGGACTTTTTTTTTTTTGGGCCCAATCCCAACTTTAAAGTTTTTTTTGCCTATCCGTTGCATGTCTCCTCACTTTTTTTTTTTTCTTGAGGGGACAGACTGACTATCTTTTTTTTGCTGCATTCCCAGGGGCTGGCCTCGTTTTTTTTTGATAAATACCAGCTTAAGAACCCGCATTTTTTTTCCCAAGGACATTACTAAATCTGCCCGTTTTTTTTCCTCCCGAGCCGCCCCGTAAGTGGGCTTTTTTTTCTCACCATTCGGCCCCCAGCGCGTCTTTTTTTTTCTCCCGCTCGGAAACAAAGCTCACAATTTTTTTTAGCGATGGCCAATCCCCGTCTTCTTCTTTTTTTTTTCCGGATAGGCCGGCTCGAGGTGGCTTTTTTTTTCCGGGTCCCGGTAGGAGGAGTGCTTCCGCCCATCGTGCCGCCCATTCTTCCGCCCTCCCTTTTTTTTGACACGAAGGAGAATAGGGGCTGTATTTTTTTTTCGGCGAAGGCAATGGAAGCATATATGTTTTTTTTCCGGAAGTTGAGGTCCGGTTTTGAGTCTCGGCTTTGTCTTAATCTGTGTTGGGCGTTGCATTTTTTTTCCTCAGTTTCTTCCTGTACGAGGAAATTTTTTTTCCAAAATGAGTTCTACATACATTTCCTTTTTTTTAGATTTCTTTTTTGTTGTTGTTGTTTTTTTTTTTAGACAGAGTCTCGCTTTGTTACTCAGTTTTTTTTGCAGTGGCGCAATCTCGGGTCACTGCTTTTTTTTCCTCCGGGTTCAAATCATTCTCCTGCTTTTTTTTCCCAAGCAGCTGGGACTACAGGCACGTTTTTTTTCACGGGGCTAATTTTTTGTATTTTCATTTTTTTTGGGGTTTCACCGTGTTAGCCAGGATGTTTTTTTTCACCTGATCTTGTGATCAGCCCGCGTTGGCCTCCCAAAGTTCTGGGATTACAGGCATGAATTTTTTTTCCCTGCTGAGATTTCTTCGTTCTTTTTCTGGGCCTTGTCTCCTGTGACACTTTGGACTTTTTTTTTTTGAGTTTAATGCTGGAACAAGTTAAAACTTTGGGGGATGATTGGGACGTCATGATTGTTTTTTTTTTTTAGAAGGACATGAGATTTGGGGGTCCATTTTTTTTTTGATACAGTTTGAATGTATGTCCCTGCCAAATCTCATGTTGAATTGTGATCCCCAGTGTTGGAGGTGGGACCTGATGGGAGGTGTTTGGGTCATTTTTTTTGATCTCTTATGGCTTGGTGTCTTTGCTTTTTTTTGTGAGTTCTAGGGAGATCTGGTTCTTTTTTTTTTTCTTGCTCCAGTTCTCACCGTGTGATTTTTTTTTTTGCCCTTCTCCTTCTGCCAAAAGTAAAAGCTCCCTGGGGCCTCCTTAGAAGCCAGATACTTTTTTTTTGCTTCCTGTACAGCCTGCAGAACCATTTTTTTTTTTAACCTGGTTTCTATATAAATTACTTTTTTTTAGATATTTCTTTGTAGCAATGCAAGATTTTTTTTATTGTGGGGGGCGGGGCGGGGGAAAATTTTTTTTAGGCATGACACACTGGGCTAAAACATTTTTTTTTTTCGGCTGGACGTGGTGGCTCACGCCTTTTTTTTCAATACTTTGGGAGGCCGAGGTGGGCTTTTTTTTTCAGGTCGGGAGTTTGAGACCAGCTTTTTTTTTTTGGAGAAACCCCGTCTCTACTAAAAATTTTTTTTATTAGCCAGGCATGGTGGTGCGTACCTTTTTTTTCAGCAACTCGAGAGACTGAGGCAGGAGAATCGCTTGAACCTTTGAGGTAGAGGTTGCCGTTTTTTTTTATTGTGCCATTGCACTCCAGCCTGGATTTTTTTTGTGAAACTCCCTCTAAAATATGTATATTTTTTTTTATATTGTGTGTGTGTGTGTGTATATTTTTTTTTATATATATGAAGGACATTCTATTTCTTTTTTTTTCTGGAACAGGGCCCTGGCTGTTCTGGTTTTTTTTTCTTTATCACAGGATGCTACGTTCCCAGCACATTCTACAGTTATCCTAGAGAACCACAAGTTTTTTTTGAGAAAGAACTAAGTTTGTCCAAGGCTTTTTTTTGAACTATCCTGCAGTATATGCCCTTATTTTTTTTTATCCCCCTTAGCACAGCTAGTCCATTTTTTTTTCCCACCAACCTCCTAGTACCTGGAGGTTTTTTTTTGTCTTCTCAGATTGACTTAACACCTTGACAGACACAATGTCAGTGCAACATTGTTGAGCTTTTTTTTGAATACATTTTACTAGGCCCAGGAGGTTTTTTTTACAAACAGGCTGATCGGGTCTGCCTGGAGCAGCAACCTAGTCCAGGATCCAGTGATCCAGTTTTTTTTTTGCTAAAGAGGTCAAAAAAGGGTCCTTTTTTTTGCCCCAATATCTGCAGCAAGTGGGCTTTTTTTTTGATCTCCCCTACTTTTCTGCAGTACATTTTTTTTTCGCTAGGTACTGTAGCAGCTACTGGCAATCGAACACACTTCTCCCAGTTTGGTAAATGGTTTTTTTTAGTAATTCCTTTGTTTAATACAATTCTTTTTTTTAGGTGTGCTGGCTCATGCTTGTAATCTTTTTTTTTTGGGAAGCTGAAATAGGGGGTTTGCTTTTTTTTAAGAGTTCAAGACCAGCCTGGGCAAATTTTTTTTGCCCCCATCTCTCCAAAATATTAAGATTTTTTTTCAAGTGTGGTGGTGTGCACCTGCAGTCAGATCTACTTAGGAGGCTCAGGTGGGAGGATCATTTTTTTTTAGGAGTTTGAGGTTACAGCGAGCTATTTTTTTTCCACTGCACTCCAGTCTGGGCAACAGTTTTTTTTCCCGTCTCAAAAAAAAAAAAAAAAAATTTTTTTTGGTGTTGAGGGATGTCTGCTGGGCTGTTTTTTTTGTGGCAATAGAGGAAGCAATATCTGGTTTTTTTTGGGGCAGATTTCTTACCAATTTTTCCTTTTTTTTGACTCCTATGTGTGCTACCAAAAATCTTTTTTTTAACACAAACCCAGAGCTGCTTACACCTCCTAGCAGGAGTCTAGTAAGCCTGGTGCATGACTTTTTTTTGCTGGCCCACTTGTATGACTTATTTCTTTTTTTTATATCTAGGGACACCCCAGAATGCCCAGTGTGCAGTATCCCACCGTTCATCAGCTTTTCAAGCATAACATTGCCCATACCGTATTTGGGTCACCCTGGACTGCCCACAGAGAAAAATGTAGCCCTCAGTTTTTTTTAGCATCCCTTCTCCCATTGTATTGTTTTTTTTTTCATTCATAGGTATGAAGACATTGGCATTTTTTTTCCAGGTCTCAAATTAGTTATATGAACTTGGTTTCCCCCATTCAATATTGTTCATGAAGCCTTTTTTTTGAAAGCTAACAGTAGTCCAATTATTGTTTTTTTTGTCAACACTGGGATGCTTCTCATCCATTTTTTTTAATATAATGGGTCAAAAGTACTAGCCTTTTTTTTTTTTATTACTTGTCATGATGTTTTGCTTTTTTTTGCTAATTAAGTCTACCCTTAGGCCAATTTTTTTTCCCTCTCATGTGGCAGGTGCCAGATCTTTTTTTTGTAAGCCAGGGCTCAGGTTCTGTTGATTTTTTTTGTGCCACTATAATACTGGTAGAGTTTTTTTTTTTCAGGACGAGAAGGTTGCTGTAGCCTGTTTTTTTTTGGGGTCTGGGATGACAGATCCAGCATTTTTTTTTGGTGGCCACAGCTTGGGAGAGCCTATTTTTTTTATTATGCTTCTAGGCCTCTGCTGTCACGTGCTTGTGGAAAAAGCAGACTGACAGGTTAGTTTTTTTTTCCTTACACTTCCTGCATCCTCGGGTATTTTTTTTCTATGTGATAGAGGTTGGGCTGAGTGTTTTTTTTCAGTCTGACTGCTGCAGTCCCGAAGATTTTTTTTTCCCCTTGTTGCATGACCCAGGCCTTTTTTTTTTTGTTGTCCAGTCCGGGAAGGGAGGTTTTTTTTTTACAAACTTGACATGTCTGATAAGTTTTTTTTTTTGTATGGAAGGATCAGGTGTTCCTGGTTTTTTTTTCCCTAGCACTCTGGTACTCCTTGGTCTTTTTTTTTATCCCTGTGGATTTCATAGAAGAGAGGCACCTGGGGGAAGTATCACCTCTAGATTAGAGTTTTTTTTCCCTGTCTGAGGTGCTCTGGCAGCTTTTTTTTTTGACCACCTACAGGATGTGCACTCTAATTTTTTTTAGAAAAAAGAATGGTTGGGAACACTGTTTTTTTTATTTCACAGGTGCAGCCTCATCAGGCTTTTTTTTGGTCCACCTCTATCCACACCAAGCTCAGTGTTTCTCAAGATGTGTGCAGTGCTGTGTTTCTTTTTTTTTGGAGTACAGTGCTTAGTGTCCATGCTTTTTTTTTCAAATCGAGGTGTCACCCCAATAGCTTTTTTTTCTGATGTCCTTTATTCAGTTGCTTTGTTTTTTTTCTGGTCCATCATTCAATGGCTCCATTTTTTTTTTGATGACAGAGTGCATGGAAAACCCATTTTTTTTTATGAGAGTATGCCCACTGTCATGTTATTTTTTTTGTGAGGATTTTCCTTGGTCAGAGTGAAGTCCCATGGGGTATCCAAAAACATAAGTCCTCTTTTTTTTTGCTATGGTAGTCAGAGTATCCACATGTTTTTTTTATAGAGTGCCTTCCAACAGCAAGCTGTTGCCATAGCCCTTGTCCCCACACATGGAATCTTTTTTTTTTCCAATCACTGCTGCCATTCCCCTGACTTTTTTTTTAGGCTGTTGGCAATGGCCCATGAGTTTTTTTTTATGTGGCAAGATATGGTGGTAGGTGATTTTTTTTGTGCCCCACTGTTATGGCTGAAATCCTTAGCTGTTAGGGGTCATAGCCCCTCTGGTGGCATTTTTTTTCTGTGCCACAAGCAACCAAAATGTCATTTTTTTTAAAGCACTCAGTGGTGGGAACCATGGTTTTTTTTACTTGAAATGGCCCAGAGGGCTCCACTTTTTTTTAGAGAAGCACCACAAGCAGATAAACACTATGTGTCACTGGAGTCCATCCCCAAACTTTCTTTTTTTTTTTTCCCCTAAAGGAACCTGGAAATACTTTTTTTTGGCCTTCAGTATCCAAGAACTCCAAATTTTTTTTAATTTCCATCTTTCCCCATTTTATCTTTTTTTTTTTCTTGAGACAGGGTTTCTCACTGTTTTTTTTTTTGGAGGGCAGCCTCAACCTCCCAGGTTTTTTTTTTCCTCCAGCCTCAGCCTCCCACAT